AGTTTGAAATAAAACAAAACTTACAATAATTAATTTTAATATGTATATACAATTTATTATTTTTTTAAAAAATATAGAAAACAAAAATATTTTTAAAAAACAAAAATATTTAAAAAACATACAAAAAATTAAAAATACAAAATATAATTTTTTTATTCCCTTAGCACTCATCCTCTGTATCGTAGTCAAAGTCCCTGCAAAAAGTAAATAATAATGATATTACTATTCATGTGTGACACACACACACACACACACGCACGCACGCGCGCGCGCGCACACACACACACACGCACGCACGCACGCACGCACGCACGCGCGCGCGCGGTGTTCCATATTTTTCCATGCAGCCTGTCACGCGGTAGATCCACCCGCTTCCCTTAATTGGCTAATATCAATAATGATTAATTACTAAAAAATTATCTATGTTTTCCACACTCTGGAAACGCGCGCGCGCACACACACACACACACGCACGCACGCACGCACGCACGCACGCGCGCGCGCGGTGTTCCATATTTTTCCATGCAGCCTGTCACGCGGTAGATCCACCCGCTTCCCTTAATTGGCTAATATCAATAATGATTAATTACTAAAAAATTATCTATGTTTTCCACACTCTGGAAAAAGTTTTGGAACACCATATATATATATATATAAATAGAATTGATTAATACGTACCAATTATAATTAGTTATTGGAGAGAGCCCAAAGAGCTCCCTCAAGCTAAAAATATTTTCTCCATCCCAATCTTCCTCTTCAAAGAGGAAGCTCGCTCCTCCGAGCATAACGGTGACTTCTCTTCGCCACCATATCTTTTATAGAAATGTATCCGTTAAGCTGTAACAATGAAACACGTTATATAATAAAACTTTTTTGAAATATTTAGTTAGTGTATTAAGAGAAACTTAGAAGACACTACACTCACTTTCAAAATTATTTCTCCTCGTCTTTGCTTCATGGTTGCGTATACTATTCTAACTCTGAGTCGAACGGCTGAGTCGAGTCGGATGAATCGCTCCAGCTTACCCCCACTTGTAGTTCCTAGAAAAACTAGGATCTAAATGCACACACGAGCGAACGGTCCACTTGGCCATTGTATATATTGCACTCAGGACAATAAACACTTGGATGATGCCATCCAGATGATTGGTACGCGTTGAGGTTATGATGAAAAATTCATTTTTTTCCTTGCACACGATTACATATTTTAACATATTTTATAACCCCGACACTACACTCACTTTCAAAATTATTTGACCTCCTCGCACCATGTTTGCTTCTTGTATTCTAACTCTGAGTCGAACGGCTGAGTCGAGTCGGATGAATCGCTCCAGCTTACCCCCACTTGTAGTTCCTAGAAAAACTAGGATCTAAATGCACACACGAGCGAACGGTCCACTTGGCCATTGTATATATTGCACTCAGGACAATAAACACTTGGATGATGCCATCCAGATGATTGGTACGCGTTGAGGTTATGATGAAAAATTCATTTTTTTCCTTGCACACGGTTACATATTTTAACATATTTTATAACCCCATGGGAGGGTATCCGTCGTATGAGCAACAATCACTCTCTTATCATCATTCCAACTTAATGCTGTTTTCTTTTGCTCAACAGTATAAACCTCATGCTTTTTGCTTTGAATCAAATTTTGAGGTTTAATCAAATTTTTTCGACACTCGAGACACTGTAGATAATCATTGAAGTTTATGGTCTTTAACGTAGATCCTTTGATTCCTTTCGCACGCTTCTTATCCCTAGTTTCGCCTAAAATTCGAAAACTATACAATTTCGCTCGCAGTCCTACGAACTCCGTCATGATTTTACCATTATTTTCATCCTTCATCAGACCTAGAACTTTCTTATTGACTAATGGTATACCGTATACATTATCCGACGGATAGTCTGAAGTGTCGAATCTGTGTAGATCGCGCTTAATTAATTCGTATATGTTGGGAACATTGAAGTGGTATATCAAGCTATCCGTGTGGGTGTACATTAATTTTGCTTGCTCGCCGAAAGTCTTCTTGATGTAGTTATAGTGAAAATCATAAATATATGTTTTAGAGATGTCCAGAATTGAAAATCCTACGTATATAGGTTTATTGAATTTAATTTTGGTACGATTCAATTCGATTATAACCATATTCTCCTCAAAGACGGTGCAACTATGAAAATTCGGTTTTGTTATGAGAGCTTTCGCTCCATACCTCCCATCCCACTTAGTAATGAGTCTAACGTCTTTTTGCTTCCTAAGGTTTTCCATTGTTTTACCAAAAACCGAATTATTCATCAGTTTGTAAAAGTTTTTTTCGAAATCATTTCTAGATTTTTTCCTCATCTCCGTATTTAAATCTATATATTTTTTTAACCATGGAGCTTGATTAAACTTTAAAACCCTATGAATTTTTGTTAATTTCATACCTAAACTTAAGCACTGTTTTAAATTCTCATAATGAATGATGTATCTTTTTTTCGGTAGAAGTGTAGTCATTAACTTTCTCATATTGTATCGTGAGAGAGTAGGTACAAAATGCTCGGGGCATAGTGGTAAGTCTTTGTAAACTTCATGACGCTCCGCGGGGCACTCTAAATCTACTTCAAGTATATATCCTATAGTGGAATTATTGGGAATCTTACAAATATCCAGTTGTTCGATATTTTGTTCCCATTCGAACGAGTTTAACGGTAGGAAGTGACTCATAGCTGCACCGTACAAGTTATTGACATCATAGTACATGAGGTATGATTCTTCTTTGGTTGGATCGAAATCCGCGCCCATATATCTATTGTTAGCCTTGGC